ACAGCTTAGAAAGTGTCTGAGTGTAGACCTCCCCACCTGTGCCCCAGCCCCTAGCAAAGATGTCCCCTGGTTGCAGCCATGTATGTCTTCCATTCATAGTCTTTGGAGACATTGAGGTTTCCAAAAACTGTACTGTCTGATAAGCTTTGAGCCACATATGGCTCTTTACATTTAAATCAATCAAAGTTAAATAAAATTTAAAATTTAGTTCCTCCATGACAATAACCACATTTCAGGTGCTCAATTGCCACATGTGTCTAGTGGCTATAATGTGGGATAGTGCAGATATGAAACATTTCCATCATCACAGGAAGTTCTAGACAGTGATGACTTAGAGGAATAGCCACTGTTCTACACAGAACCAGAAGTTTCTTTCTGTTTCTTTCTGATCCTCCATAAGCAGTAAGAGTGATAGCAGGTGCCATGCTGCTAAGTACTATAAGCTTTACCTCCTTTAATCATTGCAGATATTATTGACCCTATTTAACAGATGAGTAAACTGAGTCTGAGACAGATGAAGTGTTCGAAGTGACACAGCTTATGACCAGCAAAGCCATAACTTGAACACAGTTCCTCCCAGTCCACAGCCACATCTTTAACCAGCATGCTACGCTGCTCATGCAACCCCAGCACACAGGTGGATCCAGGTTGAGCAGATTTGTGGCAACAAACCGAGTATTTCCCTCAGACCTGGTTATCACTGATGGATTGTGGGTTGAGAATCAAACTAAATCTACTTCTGATTTTGCTGCTGGGTGATGGGAAGCAAAGTAGTTCAACCTGGATGTGTCTCATGGTCCCATATTAAAAATATCCTTCCTGGGTGGGTCACTCAAGGTCAGGAGTTTGAGACCAGCCTGGCCAGCATGGCGAAACACTGTCTTTACTCAAAATAAAAAATAAATAGCTGGGCATGGTGGTAGGCACCTATAATCCCAGCTACTAGGGGGGCTGAGGCAGAAGAATCGCTTGAACCTGGGAGGTAGAGGTTGCAGTGAGCCAAGATCATGCCACTGCACTCCAACCTGGGTGAAAGAGCAAGACTCCATCTCTAAATAAATAAATAATAAAAATTGTATGTGCTCATCACACAGGATTCCAAAATTAAGTTTCTGTTGGCAAAACACTTCAACTGCATTATTTAAACAAAGGTGTTAATAGGTTAAGAAAAAAGAATGATGGGAAAAGAAACTTGCCCTCCAAATTCATGCAGGATGAACCATGTGATCGTGTCCAAGTTGCCTAAGTAATTGTACCTGTAATGTTTGTAAACTGACTTCATTCAGCAGGAGATGTTGGGTTACTTGCTCTGTAGCCTCTGGCTTAGATTGAGTATCTTAACCAGTTTCTCGTATCTGTTTTATAAAAGGAAGAATCTCCTGTAATCCCAGCACTTTGGGAGGCTGAGGCAGGCAGATCACCTGGGGTCAGGAGTTTGAAACCAGCCTGGCCAACATGGTAAAACCCCATCTCTACTAAAAATACAAAAATTAGCTGGGTGTGGTGGTGCACACCTGTAGTCCCAGCTATGCAGGAGGCTGAGGCGGGAGAATTGCTTGAACCTGGGAGGTAGAGGTTGCAGTGAACCGAGATCACTCCAGCCTGGGTGACAGAGCAAGACTCTGTCTCAAAAAATAAAATAAATAAAAAAAGAAAGGCTCTTGGCAGCCCATAAGTCACACCTAGTTTCAAATTCCAGCTGTACTAGGTGTTTATGGTGGGACCTTTGGAAACTTACATAACCTCTCTGGGTTCAGCTTTTTCATCAGTAAAATGGGGGCTTTTAATGTCTGCTGAAATTAAATGAAATAACTTCTGCCCAAGTACCTGGAATGTTATAGAGGCTCCAGATACATTAACCTCCCTTCTCTACTGAATCCTCATGTATGGTCATGTGATGTAGGATCAGGAGTTTCAGAGCTGAAAGGGAACTGAGTGACACTTAGAGCAGCACTCTCAATAGACGATACTTCTGTTTATGATTGTGTAGGTAACCATTGACTTAGGAAATGCCTGTAATCAAGAGCCACTCTGGGTATGTTTTGGTGACATTTTAGCGAAGGTAAAACAGAATGTTCCCTCTTACGAATGCAAACCTCTCCAGGCAGAAAAGCGGAAGTGGCTATGACGTGGGCCACAGGGACTGCGTGAAACACAGCAGGCAGGGGATCTGGGTGGCCCAGAGGAAGCTGTTGGAGGGGCCACTTGGGCTTATGCTCTCAGAGCTTGGACTGTGGCTTCTGGTTCATCCCAGATGACTGTCATTGGGGGCCAGATTGGGGATGGAGGAGTCCCCAAAGCTGGGAACATAGAAAAGAAGGCAAGACAAAGGCCAGTCTTAATGCCCGGGGCCCAAACCAATATGGGCCACAGGGCAAGCTGCACTGCCTAGTTAGGGAACAGACAGAGGCCATTGTCAGAGTCAAATCAGATAGGAGAGCCAAATGGAGAAAGACTGTTGGGAAGCAGGAGGGCAGGACTCAGAGAGTAGAAGAACTCAGAGTAAGACAGGTCTGATGAGGCCATCTGGATGTTAGTGCCAACTCCTATCTCCATCTCAGATGGTGGCCAGCCTGTGGGCCTAGCTGAGATCACCTCATCCTGAACCTGTTAGAGTTCAGGAGCGGGGAGCCAGGAAAATTTAGTGGGTAAGAAGTCAGATTCTGGCCGGGCGTGGTGGCTCATACCTGTAATCCCAGCACTTTGGGAGGCCAGGCAAGAGGATCACTTGAGTCTGGGAGCTTGAGACCAACCTGAGCAACACAGTGAGACTCTGTCTCTACAAAAAATTTAACACATTGCTAGGCATGGTGGTATACACCTGTAGTCCCAGCTATTGGAGAAGCAGAGGTGGGAGGATCGCTCGAGCCTAGGAGGTCAAGGCTGCAGTGAGCTATGATCGTGCCACTGCACTCCAGCCTGGGTGACAGAGTTTAGACTGTCTCCAAAAAAAGTCAGGCTCTAGCATCCAGAACAAGCCTAGGTTTGAATCTGTCATCACTGGCTGTGTGACTTAGGCTAGTAACTTAACCGCTCTGAACTATAGTTTCTTCATGTGAGGATGATTGTGAGGATGATGCTGATGGTCATGAAGATGCTGGTGTGGTCATGATACAGAGGAGGAGGAAGATGATGGTGATGATGGTGATGATGATGGTGCTGATAATGAAGATTAGGACGTGATGAAGTTGATGATGATTATGACGAGGGTGATTATGGTGATGGTGATGGTGATTATGGTGCAGGCTGATGAGGAAAGTTAGATGATGATAATTACAATAATGATGATGGCAACAATGAGAATCATGGTGGCTGTGGTGATGATTTTGGTAGTGGTGGTGATAAAAATGATGGTGAGGCTGGGCACAGTGGCTCACACCTGTCATCCCAACACTTTGAGAGGCCAAGGTGGGCAGATCACAAGGTCAAGGGATCGAGACTATCCTGGCCAACATAGTGAAACCCCATCCCTATTAAAATACAAAAAAAATAGCTGGGCATGGTGTAATCCCAGCTACTTGGGAGACTGAGGCAGGAGAATCGCTTGAACCCAGGAGGGAGAGGTGGCAGTGAGCCGAGATTGCACCACTGCACTCCAGCCTGGCACCTGGCGACAGAGCAAAACTCTGTCTCAAAAAAAAAATAAAACGATGGTGATGGTGATGGTGGTGGTGATGATGATGATAGTGACAGCCCCTCCTTTAGAATGGGTGTGATGAATGGGCTGGAATACTAGGCTTTGCCACTATGTGACCTTGAGCAACTTAGATTCTGTCTGTCTCCCTTACCCCAACCATAAAGTGGTGATTAACAATTATTCCTGGACAGGTTCAGTGGCTCATGCCTATGATCCCAGCACTTTGGGAGCCTGGGGTGGGAGGATCACTTGAGCCAAGGAGTTCGAGACCAGCCTGGGCAACACAGTGAGACCCCGTCTCTACAAAACATAAAAAAGTTAGCCAGACATAATGTTCCACCCTTGTAGTCCCAGCTCCTCAGGAGGCTGAGGAAGGAGGCCCACTTCAGCCCAGGAGATCAAGCCTGCAGCGAGTTGTGATTATGCCACTGTATTCCAGCTAGGATGACAGGACAAGTCAGGGGGGAAAAAAAAAATCTTTCCTGCCTCAAAGGGTTGTCACAAGAGTTAAATTCACTAAAACTCATGGCCAGGCATGGTGGCTTACACCTGTAATCCCAGCACTTTGGGAGGCTGAGGCAGGGGTATCATTTGAGTGAGCCCAGTTAGAGATCAGCCTGGCCAACCAGGCTGATAAGGACATAAGGAGAACCCATATCTAATATAAGTAAAATAATAATTTTTTGAAACCTGATAAGGAGATAAGGAGAACCCATATCTAATATAAGTAAAATAATAATTTTTTAAAACCTACGTGTACAGTGCTTGGCACATAGTAAATGCTTAATAAATGCTATCTCTCCTTATTAATAGTATTTTTTGTTGTTGTCGCTGTGTTCCCTTTAATTTTCTGAATCATTCCGTTTGTCCTGAGCTGCTGTTGTTCAAAGCCAAAAGTCTTGGTCAGGATCCGAGTAACTTATCACCCCAAGCCCACAGGACCTCTCTATCCTTCCTGCCTCCTACCTTTTCCATTCGTAGGCATTTAAGTTGTCCAGGGGTTCGTGGCATGGAGTATTACTAGCAAACAGGCCTGTGTTCCCAGATCCTTGGAATGAAGAAGGGAGAGGGACAAGCAAAATCCTTCTCCTTGCCATCCTGAAATAATGTCCACAGAGATGGGGATGCGCCAGCTGTCAGGGTCACCTTGGATGAGCTCCCTTGATTGACACCCAGAGCTGCTTTCCCACATGTCACTGTGGATCTTTATGAAGCAGCGGTCTGGGTACCTGAAGCTCACTGGCTCATATCGAGTTATGTGAGTGAGCCACTGAGGTTCTGTACAGACTCAGGCTTCCAGATCAAAGCAGCCAGTGGTCTCTCCTGACGACCCCTTCCTCACCTGCCCCACCTTGCCTTTCAGAGATTTGGATGGCAAGTCACACAAACCTCTGTCCCTCGGCGTGGAGAACGACCGAGTCTTCAATGACCTGTGGGGGAAGGGCAATGTGCCTGTCGTCCTCAACAACCCATATTCAGAGAAGGAGCAGGTAAGTCCTTGATGCCAGCCTGGTACCACCCTGCCTTCTCAACCCCTCCCAGGTGAGAAGATGAGGGGAGGGAAGCTAAATCCTAAACTATGTCGTGATGGAAAGCAGCCGCTGTGGCTGGAGAACTTGGGAGGCCGAGGCCAGGAGTGCTTATCCTCGGATGTGGACCTCGACTTTGTTTTTGGGTGGTTTGGTATTGTTGGTGAGCTTGCCGTATTTCACATTTTAATTATGTTTCCACCAGGAAAGGCATTCTTATATTTCCAAATTTAAAAGATGTAAAAGATACATGGTAGCTGGGCACAGTGGCTCGTGCCTGTAATCCTAGCATTTTGGGAAGCCAAGGCAGGAGGATAGCTTGAGGTCCAGAGTTCAAGACCATCCTGGCCAGCATGGCGAAACCCCATCTCTACTAAAAATACAAAAATTAGCCTGGTGTAGTGGCACACACCTGTAATCCCAGCTACTCAGGAGGCTGAGGCAGGAGAATCTCTTGAACTCAGGAGGTGGAGGTTGCAGTGAGCCAAGATCACACCATTGCCCTCCAGCCTAGATGACAGAGCAAGACTCCCTCTCAAAAAAAAAAAAAAAAAACCAGTAACACCACCCCCAGCCTGGGCTACCTAGCAAGACCCTATCTCTATAAAAAAAATTAATTAGTGGAGAGCACAATGGCATATACCTGTAGTTCTAGCTACTCAGGCAACTGAGGCAGGAGGATCACTTGAGGACAGGAATTCAAGCCCGCAGTGAGCTGTGATATAGCACCTCTGCACTTTAGCCTGAGTGACAGAGTGAGACCCTGTCTCTAAAAAAAAAATCGCAATAAATAAACAAAAAAACACATTACGAAAAGCTCTGTTTCTAATTCCAGCCACATAGTTTTCCTCCCAGAGTCAAGCAATATTAACGGTTTTTGTGTATTTTTTAGCCATGTGTTATGCATTGACAGACAAACATATATCATTCTTGACATATTTTTAGACAAATAAGAGCACATTACACATGTTGTTTTATATCTTGCTTTTCGCTTTTTTTTTTTTACTTTAAGTGCATACTATATCTGGCATTATTCCCCATGTGATCCCTCCCCACCCTCTCCACCCCCCACTGTCTCTCCCCGACCCCGTCCCAACTGCCCCCAGTGTGTGATGCTCCTCTCCCTGAGTCCATGTGTTCTCATTGTTCAACACCCACCTATAAGTGAGAACATGCAGAGTTTGGCTTTCTGTTCTTGAGTCAGTTTGCTGAGAATGATGGTTTCCAGATTCATCCAAGTCCCTACAAAGGACATTAACTCATCGTTTTTTATGACTGCATAGTATTCCATGGTGTATATGTACCACATTTTCTTTGTCTAGTTTATCATTGATGGGCATTTGGGTTGGTTCCAGGTCTTTGCTATTGTACACAGTGCTGCAATGAACATACGTGTGCATGTGTCTTTATAGTAAAATGATTTATGGTTCTTTGGGTATATACCCAGTAATGGAATTTCTGGGTCAAATGGAATTTCTATTTCTAGATCCTTGAGAAATTGCCACACTGTCTTCCACAATGCTTGAACTAGTTTATACACCCACCAACTGTATAAGAGTGTTCCTATTTCTCTACATCCTCTCCAGCATCTGTTGTCTCCAGATTTTTGAATGGTTGCCATTCTAACTGGCATGAGATAGTATCTCAATGTGGTTTTGATTTGCATTTCTCTAATGACCAGTGATGATGAGCATTTTTTCATATGTTTGTTGGCCTCATATATGTTTTCTTTTGTAAAGTGTCTATTCATATCCTTCACCCACTTTAGAAGGGGGTTGTTTGTTTTTTTTCTTGTATATCTGTTTTAGTTCTTTGTGGAATCTGGATATTAGCCCTTTGTCAGATGGGTAGATTGCAAAAATTTTTTCCCATTCTGTTGGTTGTTGGTTCACTCTAATGATGGTTTCTTTTGCTGTTTTGATTACTGTAGCTTTGTAGTATAGTTTGAAGTCTGGCAGTGTGATGCCTCCAGCTTTGTTTTTTTATGTATGTTTTTCTTTTGTTTGTTTGTTTGTTTTTGCTTAGGATTGTCTTGGCTATGCGGGCTTTCTTGTGATTCTATATGAAGTGTAAAGTGGTTTTTTCCAGTTCTATATAGAAGGTCATTGGTAGCTTGATGGGGATAGCATTGAATCTATAGATTTCTGTGGGCAGTATGGCCATTTTCACAATATTAATTCTTCCTAGCCATGAGCATGGAATGTTTTTCCATCTGTTTGTGTCCTCTCTTATTTCGTTGAGCAGTGGTTTGTAGTTATCCTTGAAGAGGTCCTTTACCTCTTTTGTTAGTTGTATTCCTAGGTATTTTATTCTCCTTGTAGCAATTGTGAATGGGAGTTCACTCTTGATTTGGCTCTCTGTTTGTCTGTTATTGGTATACAGGAATGCTTGTGATTTCTGCACATTAATTTTGTATCCTGAGTCTTTGCTGAAGTTGCTTATCAGTTTGAGAAGATTTTGGGCTAAAACAATGGGGTCTTCTAGATATACAACCATGTCACCTGTAAATAGAGACAGCTTGACTTCCTCCTTTCCTTCTTTGAATACCCTTTATTTCTTTTTCTTGCCTGATTGCTCTGGCTAGAACTTCCAATACTATATTGAATAGGAGTGGTGAGAGAGGGCATCCTTGTCTAGTGCCTGATTTCAAAGGGAATTCTTCCAGCTTTTGCCCATTCAGTATGATATTGGCTGTAGGTTTGTCATATACAGCTTTTATCATTTTATGATACATTCTGTCAATACCTAGTTTATTGAGAGTTTTTAGCATGAAGGGCTGTTGAATTTTGTTGAAGGCCTTCTCTGCATCTATTGAGATAATCATGTGGTTTTGCCTTTGGTTCTATTTATGTGATGGATTACGTTTATGGATTTGCGTATGTTGAACCAGCCTTACATCCCCAGGGTGAAGCCTATTCGGTTGTGATGGATAAGCTTCTCGATGTGCTGTTGCAATCTGTTTGCCAGTATTTTATTGAAGATTTTTGCGTTGATGTTCATCATGGATATTGGCCTGAAGTTTTCTTTTTTTGTTGAGTCTCTGCCTGGTTTTGCTATCAGGATGATGTTGGTCTCATAAAATCAGTTAGGAAGGATTCCCTCCTTTTGTATTGTTTGATACAGTTTCAGAAGGAATGGAACCAGCTCCTCTTTGTACATCTGGTAGAATTCGGCTGTGAACCTATCTGGACCTGGACATTTTTTGGTTGGTAGACTATTGATTGCTGCCTCTACTTCAGCCCTTTTTATTGTTCTATTCAGGGTTTCAACTTCCTCCTGGTTTAGTCTTGGTAGAGTACAGGTGTCTAGGAATTTATCCATTTCTTCGTGGTTTACTGGTTTGTGTGCATAGAACTGTTTGGAGTAATCTCTGATGGTAGTTTGTGTTTCTGTGGGATCAGTGATGATATCCCTTTATCGTTTTCTATTGCATCTATTTGATTCTTCTCCCTTTTCTTTTTTATTAATTTGGCTAGTGGCCTGTCTATTTTGTTGATCTTTAAAAAAAAACCAGCTCCTGGATTTATTGATTTTTTGAAGGGGTTTTTGGTGTCTCTGTCTCCTTCAATTCTGCTCTGATCTTAGTTATTTCTTGTCTTCTGCTAGCTTTTGAGTTTTTTTGATCTTCCTCCTCTAGGTATTTCCATTTTGATGATAGGGTGTCAATTTTAGATCTTTTCTTGTTTCTTATGTGGGCATTTATTGCTATATAAATTTCCCTCTCAAAACTGCTTTAAAGGTGTCCCAGAGATTCTGGTAAGTTGTGTTGTCATTCTGATTGATTTCAAAGAACATCTTTATTTCTGCCTTTATTTCATTGTTTATCCAGTCGACACTCAGAAGCAAGTTGTTCAGTTTCCAAGTGGTTGTGCGGGTTTGAGTGTGTTTCTTAATCCTGAGTTCTAGTCTGATTGCACTGTGGTCTGATAGACTGTTTGTTAGGATTTCTGTTCTTTCGCATTTGCTGAGGAGTTATTTGCTTCCAATGATGTGGTCAGTTTTAGAGTAAGTGCAATGTGGTGCTGAGAAAAATGTATATTCTGTGGATTTGGGGTGGAGCGTTCTGTATATGTCTATTAGGTCTGCTTGGTCCAGCTCTGCATTCAAGTCCTCGATGTCCTTGTTAATTTTTTGTCTCGTTGATCTGTCTAATATTGAGAGTAGAGTGTTGAAGTCTCCTGCTATTATTGTGTGGGAGTCTAAATTTCATTTTAGGTTGTTAAGAACTTGCTTTATGTATCTGGGTGCTCCTGTGTTGGGTGTGTATATATTTAGGATAGTTTGCTCTTCTTGTTGGATTGATCCTTTGACCATTATGTAGTGTCCTTCTTTCTCTCTTTTGATCTTTGTTGGTTTGAAGTCCATTTTATCAGAGATTAGGATTGCAACCCCTGTTTTTTTTTTTTTTTTTTTTTTTTTTTTTTGTTCTCCATTTGCTTGGTAAATCTTCTTCCATCCCTTTATTTTGAGTCTATGTGTGTCTTTGCATGTGAGATGGGTTCCTGAATACAGCACACTGATGGGTCTTGACTTTTTATCCAGTTGCCAGTCTGTGTCTTTTGATTGGATTGCTTTGGCCATTTACATTCAATGTTAATATTGTTACATGTGAATTTGATCCTGCCATTTTGTTACTGGCTGGTTTTCTTTCTTGTTGGTTGACTCATTTTCTTCATTTCATTTTTGGTCTTTGCCAATGGGTTTGCTTTTGCAGTGACTGGTATTTGTTCCTTTCCGTGGTTAGTGTTTCTTTCAGGAGCTCTTGTAGGGCAGGTCTGGTGGTGACGAAATCGCTCAGTAATTGCTTGTCCATAAAGGATTTTATTTCTCCTTCACTTATGAAGCTTAGTTTGGCTGGATATCGGATTCTGGGTTGAAAGTTTTCTTTAAGGATGTTGAATATTGGCCTCTACTCTCTTCTGGCTTGTAGGGTTTCTGCCGAGAGATCTGCTGTGAGTCTG